AAATTACTATTAAAGCGATTCTGTCATACATTACACAATATTTTAATTTATGACCAAAAATTGTGAAATCAATTCTCAGTTGGAAAAGTCAAATCACTTTCCAAATTAGCTCTCATTATAACCATTTCTATATAACTTACACTAATTACCCACTATTATACACATTAGCTATTAAGATTCACAAGTAATATTATTTTTGTCATTTCAAAACTCCACTACAATTACGAATTATATAAAGGTATGGCTAGTCGAGAGTGATTTAGTTAATTCCCAAAACAGATGTCTGTCCGATGAGATTGCCTTTCTCTCACTATAAGCTAGTATTATTTTACAATATTTTGTGTTAATGATTTTAAAGGTCATTTATTATAAAAATCACGAAATATTATATGCAATCCATTAGCTATTAGAACAAAAAAATATTCTGTGTAACAGAATATCAAATTGTTGTTATTCATAATGTACTGTATATTTATTGTGAATTATATAATTTATGAGGAATTATTGCACAATAGTTTAGCCTTCAATTATATAAATTTACTGATATAACATTAACCTCATAAAAAACATTATAATAAACAGAATTATATATTAAATATTGAATATTCATTCATTTGGAAATATCTGGTAATTTGATTACAAATGGTAATCAGAATGAAATATATTATTAAGCATACAGTCATGAGCACGAAAATAATCAAATGTTTGCAAAATATCTAATACAAATTAACTGTTAAATAATTCACTTAGTTTACTTTTGTCAAAAATATTTCCCATCAAAATTCAGTCGATATAACACACCACCAGTGGGTAGAGACAATATTTTTGTAAAATATAAAAATAATATAAAAATACACTTTCATTTCATACACACTACACCAACATTTGATTCACAAGTTTTTATTTGAAATTCAATAACTGTAGCGAAAGTGTCTGTTATGACAGTATTGCCGGCTTTTTGTTGCCGTATTGATATTGCTGTGAAAAATACTTTTGTTTTTCAGTCCATGTATTGATTTTTGACAATCAAACTGAATAAGTCACAGAATTGTAATGAAAACTAATTAAATAATTTTGTGATAAAAGTTATATACTTTTAATGTATTACTTAATTAGAAAATATAGTGTACTAACTAAAAAACATAATATAAATTATAATTACTGATAATTATTATATATATTCATAGCAAGGTTTTATATGCGATTATTTCCGGGAATTGTGGCTAAAAAATAAGTTTACACTTAAATGAGTTAAATTGAAGCAAATTCTTGCTACATGTAAAAACTATTTAGCAAAATAATTAATTGATTGAATTAAATAAAACCAAAATATATTTCGTGAATTGCATTAGATTTTCATAGTATCTCACATTTACTACGAATTGGCAGTCATTAAAATAAATGCATAAAATTTTGTTGTTTTTTCTTAATATTAATTAAGTGTTTATAGTGAATCACTTCATACATGAATTGATTAAATAAGATTTCTATGTCTATGTAATTAACTCATATTTTTCATAATGACTTTGTATGGAAAAATAAATAAAAATATTATTTATTATGATATTAAAGAGTCTGTCCATTTAAGACATATCTGTGCTATCGATTTGCATACATGTGCTATTCTTTGGTATACCATGTTTTAGGTTTAGTACAGAATATTCTGTATATACATACAAATAGCTAATAACAACATTCAATAATTACATAATTGTAATATTGATTTAATAATCGCACACTTTATCCACAATATATGTTTTGCATATTTGTTTCCCTCGTAAACCATAATACTTCTCATCAGTTAAACAACTAATGCATTAAAAAACACATTTTTTTCATAAATTTACATTTATGTGCAAAAATGTTTTTGTATAATATACGTATTAAATGCATTTAATAATTAGCAACAAATAAATTGCTTTACATTTTTAATATCTGCAAAATATTTTTAACATTATATCACAAAATATAAAAGCATATAACAATATATTTTGCTGCAAATATTAGCTCTAATCTTAGGTCTTTGTTTTAAAATTTTTTCAGAATTATATGTAAGAATATTGTATTTTAAAAACAAAATATCAAAATATATACTACTATTAAAATAAATACGAGATAAAAGGAGAGAGAGAGAGAGAGAGAGAGTTTACGATTACATAATAGAAAATATTGTGTGAGTGAGAGATAACACAAACATAAAAACAGATTCAACACAAAAAATTGTTATATTATTTTTTCTCTGTTGAACAGTAATAGTGTTACTGTTTATGTAGTTTTTGGTGTAATATTCTGTACAGAATATTGCAAATGTTACAATGTATATAACAAAATAATGACCAAAAGTGTTAGGGTTTATAATTTTTCCCCGTGTTTTCACTGTTGAAACACAAATACTATTCATATAAATAACATACGAAATACCTCTGACATGAAGCCTTATCTTTTGATTGCAAAAATAACATTTTTGTTTTGTTATATTCAATATATTTTGTCATATTTTAGATCTCAAATAAATTGCAGTATTATTCTTCTTACTAATTATTTAGTTTCTCATTGTATTTATTATATTAATAAAAATAAAAATATATTTGTGTGCATTAGTTGTATTAACACATACCTCAGCGATTGGCTTTCATTGATACCATTTTTACCAACAAATTCTCGTCTCTTTACCCATAATCTGAAACCAATATATAGATTGAAAGGGAATTAGAAAATTATATCAAATAATAGTTATTTATTTGATTAGTACTGAACCAAAGAACATATACAGTAATGCATGTCTCAACACAAATTCACTGAGAATTTCTATTATTTTCCTTTACTTTTGTGTATTATTTGTTACGTATTGATAAGACTTGTCTGTAAGCTATTGGTATATAACGTGCAATAAAAACGTATAAAAGGTACCGTATTTTATCCGCGATTCAATTAATTATAAAATTAAGTGCCCAAGTTATGGACCCTGACAAATGGCCATTTTGATAGAGTGGACTCTAATTAATATACTTACTTATGCTTACCCAATGGTTCTATATAATAAGGGAATAAATATAACATAACTACTACTACTACTTGTTAATAAATTAACTCTATTTATTAATACTCCAGTAATTAATAACTAGTATTTCTAAAGATCTTACATACAAATATTTTTATCAATAATTAAATAGCTAAAGGTTTATAATAATAATAATACTCTATCGGAACTAGTTGAACATTAAAACTAATACTAATATATCATGATTGTACATGTTCAGAGTATATAATTTAATTAAATTTGAAAAATGGCAATAATAATTACCGCAAAGCCTTTAACACATTATTCTTTTCGGAGCCATAGATGTAGAAACAGCAGTCATTAGGTCTCAATTCATTGCAATTCTGTTGATCGTTGTATTTATAGAGCAGAATAACTGTCTCGCAGTTTATGACTTCCCAATCGGGGTTTCTCTGTAGCCATAGGTTCGCCGTATCCATCATTGTGCTATACATTCAAAATTATTGCAATTCTGTTGATCGTTGTATTTATAGAGCAGAATAACTGTCTCGCAGTTTATGACTTCCCAATCGGGGTTTCTCTGTAGCCATAGGTTCGCCGTATCCATCATTGTGCTATACATTCAAAATGCAAACACAAACACATTATTAAATACCAATACAATCGTTAAACTAATTATGCATCTTATGTAAGCAAACATTTAATAGCATATTAAGTCTTATTGAGTATTATGATATAGAATTTATATACAATCCTAAGAAATGCTAGAAATATTAATAATACTGTATTATATTTATACTAATTTATATTTAATTAAATGCAAGAGTACTGTTGGTTAGTAACCCAGTCCTATTTTAATTACAAATCAAACTTTAATTACTAAAGTGCATTATTACTAAAATTATATATTCTGTGTATTGTGTACAGAATATTCTGCACGCATTTGTGTAACGTGTAGACCACATGTGCTATGCAATGGTGGAGCGCATAACTTACAATATACTAGCAAATATTGGACAAATTATTATTTTTTTATTACTTTTTTTAGTTAAACAAATGAAGAAAAGAGAGAAAACACAAGTTATTAATTTAACACAAAAAAACGCATTCAAGCCATAGTTGCTACGGCGACTGACAAATAAATTTAATACTTTTTCCCTGTTTTAACTAAAAATAGTGTACATGCTTTCAAATGGTATATTGTAGTAGCAAATAAAATATAAACGCCAAATAATAATAATAATAATAATACTAAATAATAATAATACTAAATAATAATAATACTAAATAATAATAATGACTGTAATAATAATCTTTTATTTTGTTATTATTTTTGAAGTTAATTAAAGCCGGGTCTTTAAATCTAAAGTTTTTTTTGTTACTCTCGTCGCTCATTAAAACATGTACTTTCATATAAAATGTGTTATGAAAGTAAAAGTTTTATAACAAATTCTTTAGTTATATTAAAGTTAATGGCTGCAAACTTAGCCTATTATATGACCTAGCACATTAGAGATATAAAATTAAATTACAAACTAAATTGCAAATAAAGACAAGATACTTTAGACTAGATATTAAAACTACAAATTATGTGCTATGTGCTACCATACTAAATTTAGTATTTATGATTAAAATTTATTTATTTATTATATATCACTAAAATATTGAGTGCAAAAATGTGAGAATAAATACCTGAATGTGTGGTATTGAACCTCGCACTGTGGTATAACTGTACCGGATCGTTTGATAACGCAAGGCACGAAATCAACAAAAGTGAAGTTAACGTTGGATTCGGCGGTTATATTCTTGTCGAGTATGAGGGGCTCTTCGGGCTGGAAGTTGTCCCGATGCAAGTATATGGCAAACGCCATGTCCTTTGATATATATATATATATATATTTCACACCGAGTTTTGTGTTTCAAATATATTATGCAATTATTTTTCTTATATTAATAGGAATTTGAGTCCACGAATTGTTTTTGTGTGAGAGTAGCGTTAACTTTAGCAAAAATATACAGCATTTATACAAAACATTAAACACAATTGTCGCTAATATATCTTATTTATGGGTCAAAATTGTCGCTCAAAAACAGCACTACATTTCCAAATGTGTTGACTGAGAGAATATATTTTCCATTCATTTATTTTTTTATTTAATATATAATAATTTGCTTTTATTATTTTGTCGCAAATGTTACACGTTTTGGGGCAATGAGTGTACAAAACAAAGTTTTATATTATTATCGTTTTTATTTATATTTCTTTTGCATTACATTTCTCCCTCGGAATACGTTTTTGTCCACTTTTTATGACTTTTGTGTTTGTTTTGTACAACACATAGAGAATCACAATAACAATGCGAGTGAAAAATTGTCTTAAGTTTTCATTTGACACAAGTTTGCGTTTACAGTACATCACACATACCTCTTAGGGCTAACTTTCACGACTGCCTTTCCCTCTTAAAGCCTTTTTATCAGAGCGCTTACAGTTCTGTTCACCGCTAATGAAATGTATTTCCGAAACACTTTTATTATAAAAACAAATTTTCTTATGAAATATTACGGTCTGAACGGCTTTACAACGAAATTGAGTGAGACTACTGCCGACAAAGACATTAAATGCCTGACCATTATCTGCACAAAACCCATACCATAAAAGTCTGGTATACGTTATGACTGTCTGCAGGTGACTGACTATATCTGGCGGTCTGTCTGTGTCGCCAGTGGTTGACGGTATGGCACAGGCATGAGCGGCACCGTTGCCTACGCGCTGTTCATGCGGGTAACGGGCGCCGGGAGTATGCGCTCTGCCCTACCGAACACCGTATCAAAAGGATAGCACAATAGTATCACTGGTTTTCTATGCGATTCCTGTGATTCTCTATTTAATTCTGGTCTTTGCTATTATCGTACGTATGGATCGATACGAATAAAAAGCTTTCGGAGAAAAAATATACTAAACTTTTTTGTATTTTGCTTTTTCCCTCTGATTCTCTGTATATTTATTATCATTTATGATTGCATTTATAGTTATATAATAGTTGATGATATTTTTGTAGTGCAATGGGAGAGAGAGAGAGAGTCTCTCTCGGCTAACATATGTTCATAAGGTTAAAATGTTTTAAAAGCAATGCTTTTTACCTCTCATTTATTTATACATTTCTATTATTCATAAAACCTATTATATATTTTTTGCTATTTTTGCAAAATCACAACTTCTTTACACATTTCTTTAAAACATAAATAATTTTTTGTTTTTGTACTAACTTTCCATTTAGAAAAGTTTTCCTATCAAATTAATTATACTCATTTTTACTTTATTTGTAAAATAGTTTTGCATTGCATACAAATTCATGGGAATCGCTATAAGAATGCTATTTAACAATAAAATTTATTCACGTATCTATGAACCCCATTATAATGAACGCTATGGGTTGATTGCATACATCATTACAATATATTGCATATTGCATACAAATTCATGGGAATCGCTATAAGAATGCTATTTAACAATAAAATTTATTCACGTATCTATGAACCCCATTATAATGAACGCTATGGGTTGATTGCATACATCATTACAATATATTGCATTGTATATCATTATTATAACAATTTATACTGTAATAACATAATATTTGCAATCATTAGACACCCAAACAAAATCATTTTCATACATAGCACTGTAAGATACTGTATTATATAACTGTATATTGTAGTGAATAAATATTTTCTGTATTCAATTTTAATAAAATACAAAAATATACAGTAATAAAAACTTTTTTCATCTCTTTTTATTAGTCTTTCGGTTCAATATTTTTAATTGTTTTGCGTTTAGTGTTAGTGACCACAAGTATTATATAATATATGGCTTTTTTGTATCTCATTTTGTGTCCATAAATAGCATTAAGCATTAAGTTTTTATTTCATGTCGAGATATGATATGATTTTATGATTTCTCTATCTCCTATCCATAAGTTTTCCTATTACTACCTGTCCATCGATTTTAAGCCTCAGTAATGACATGAGACACACGATATGTAATAATATACAGTAGTAATACTTGTATTACATAATATATACACAGATTTTTATTGCATACAAATTCATGGGAATCGCTATAAGAATGCTATTTAACAATAAAATTTATTCACGTATCTATGAACCCCATTATAATGAACGCTATGGGTTGATTGCATACATCATTACAATATATTGCACTGTATATCATTATTATATCAATTTATACTGTAATAACATAATATTTGCAATCATTAGACACCCAAACAAAATCATTTTCATACATAGTACTGCAAGATACTGTATAACTGTATATTGTAGTGAATAAATATTTTTTGTATTTAATTTTAATAAAATACAAAAATATACAGCAATAAAAACTTTTTTCATCTTTTTTTATTAGTCTTTCGGTTCAATATTTTTAATTGTTTTGCGTTTAGTGTTAGTGACCACAAGTATTATATAACTACTGTATATGACTTTTTTGTATCTCATTTTGTGTCCATAAATAGAATTAAGCATTAAGTTTTTATTTCATGTCGAGATATGATATGATTTTATGATTTCTCTATTTCCTATCCATAAGTTTTCCTATTACTACCTGTCCATCGATTTTAAGCCTCAGTAATGACATGAGACACACGATATGTAATAATATACAGTAGTAATACTTGTATTACATAATATATACACAGATTTTATTGTTTTTGTTGCTTATCTACTAATTGCAGTGAAAAGTATTATCCCTTAATATGTTTGTTATATTTGTATATATTGTATGACTTGTGTCACTAAAAAGCGATACATTTTTGATGATATAATCGATATAACCAGTAATTTGTCTCTTCATTAGCCAAAGCAATGTTAATACTACTGTACAATACATTGAACATAAAATAATTATCAATAATATAGATGTTCTGCAAATTAATAGACAATAATCTTTAGAGACCGGAGACAATCCAATCCTTTGCTTAACTCCTCAGACAATACTCTATTCTCTATCATTGTTTAGCTTTCTCTCTCTCTCTCTCTCTCTCTCTCTCTCTCCTCTCTCTCTCCACCGAATGAGAACTTTATTCTAATCACTAATTATACAAACATTTAGTAGATTGCGATTCTTTGCTCTCATTTCACACATTAATAAAATAAATGACTTAAAAGACTAGACACTCGTAGGAGGAGGACAGGGATTACATGAGAAACCAATCCTTTAGACATCTCTCATATATTGCAATGTTCTTCCGTTTCGTAAGGATTTTTACAGACATTGAGTTCTGGAAAGTGAGAGAATAATTGAATTTTGCATATATATTGTTGACATTTATTAGCAAAATGTTTGAAAATCAATGTAAAATACGAGTCGAGATTTACACCTCTTTTAAATATCGCAGTTCATTAATACACAGAATCTCTCTCTCTCTCTCTCTCTCTCTCTCTCTCTCTCTCTCCCTCTCTCTCTCCCTCTCTCCCTCTCTCTCTCTAATAATCTTTAGAGACCGGAGACAATCCAATCCTTTGCTTAACTCCTCAGACAATACTCTATTCTCTATCATTGTTTAGCTCTCTCTCTCTCTCTCTCTCTCTCTCTCTCTCTCTCTCTCTGATTTGAAATTCACACAAAAATACTGTATAAACAAAAACACATTTCCATAAAAATTAATGATTTTAGACCATTTTTAAGCATTTTATTTATTCATTTAAATGACTTAACGATTCGCTGAGGAAATAAATTTTATGCCAGAATCTGACCTTTCGTTTCGAGAGATTTTTTGAGGCAAACAATGAGAGACAAAAACAGTCGACGAGTGCATCTCAACACACACTCTAAAACTTAATGTTTGTTTGCAAATGTAAATACATGGCGAATAAATAACAGACTAAAAATTTAATTTCTGTTTTCCCATTTCATAATAACGGTGCGAGAGAGAGAGAGAGAGAGAGAGAGAGAGAGAGAGAGACTCTGAGAAATACATAAAACTAGCAAAAAATAAATGTAAATTACAAATGAATGCCAACCCAACTGAGATGAGCCCATGATTTATAACAAGGTGTTAGGCCCTAACGATTGCCCATTTAATGATCAATGAACATAAATATTTGATTGCAATGAAAGTGAGTGAATATAAAAAGCTTTTTTGTTTTGTATTGCGATTCCCTTATTCTGTGAGTTACAAGAATTTATTGCATTGAATGCCTATTAATAAATCTATTGCCTTTAACGCTAGTATATCACAGAATCGGTGTAATACCGGCGCTAATACTAAATATGGCTTTTATATTATCCTCAGATATAAAGTATTCATTATTGTGTTCATACATAACAATAACAATAGTTATACTTTTGGTGCGGAAATTGGTGTTCATTTCCTTTTCAATTATTTTTCCCATACATTCAATTTACTTTTGTTTTAAGTGTTTTGGTACAGTAGTAAAAAATTATTTCTATATTTTTAGTCCAATAGGGGGCTGGAAATTTAATTAAAAATAAGCATTAAATTTATTTATTTAAACTGCTTTAAAAGTTTTATTTTATTATTATGGCTTTTAATACATGATCTCTTTTCGTTATTAAATTAAAATTTCTCATTGAAAGAGATATAAAAATTTTATTTTAATCATAAATTATACCATTCAATGGTGTTTGTGGCTATTATGATATTTTTAATGATTATTCTAGGCACAAGTCGTGTATGTGGAATATTATATACGCAAAACAAAACGTATAACTCTTTAATTAATTTAAATAACAAACGTAAACAAAATGTGTTGGTTTATCGTCATCATTACTTCAGGCACAAAGTAGTGAATGGCAATCATTATGTAAATTGAGTTCTCAATCAAACTTTACTCAAGTGATATAAATAAAAAAGACATGTAAAGTAAACGTTAAAAGTTAGACATATCGGATGTTGAAAAATACATTTGTGTGCATTAGTTGTGAAATAATAAATTAAAGGCCAAGTTTGTACAAGTGGGATATTTTTTTATTAATTTTTTGATTGAGAAAATAATTCATTTTTCTTGTTGTTTGCGATATTTATTCACGTTTTTTGTCGTGCACTGGAAATTACACATTCATTACGAGTGGAACTGATATGTTAATATTAAACATTACTCAAAATGATTTAAATATTTAATATGCATAATAATATTATGAAATTTATGCGATATAGGTGGTAAAAAACCAGTGCAATATTAATAAATAGAGTACATCTAAACTTAAAGTGTTATATCTACATTTACACGATAAAGTTTTATGAACTATATTGTACCTCCAGTACTCTATTGGATAACTTTCGAGTGACCTATCACCTTTTCAATGAATACAATTAACGCCATACACCCGGTAATATAAAAGCATTGTTTGTACAGTACTTTGGAAATGAGATGTTTTTATAACTCTGTAACAGAGTCTCTGTTATCTCTGTTAACAACTGGTGTTAAAAGTGTTGTTACATTTTAGTGACAATTTTATTATTTTGAAAACTTTTCTCACTATTTATGGGCTCGTATTTTTGACTCACATTTGTTGGCAAATATTTATTCAGTAATTAAATTTTGATTTAATTTCTATCACTCATAGAGTCTGTTGTTTCCAATTGTGGTGACATTTAGACAAAAACGGCAAACAATTGTGAACTAAAATTGTAATTATATTCAGATAAAAACGGTTAATTCTTACACTCATTACTCGAGTGTTTGGTACAAAATGATACTTACTTTTTGTTTTATATAACATTACTCTTTATATATACACCAAACATCCAGATGTGGTGCTAACATACTATGAAACTCTACTTTTATGCCATCAATAAAAACAATTTCTTTGCTAATAAAGAGAATCACTATTTGTTTTGATGAACTAATTCCTAATTCTATGGAATATACGAGTAAAACATTATTCCTATTCACTAATTAATATAAAGTGTTTTTATGTAAATGTATTTTTCCCATTCAATACTCTATTCTCGAGTATTCTGGGAAGGAATTGAATAATAAAGTCGAGAGAGAGAGAGAGAGAGAGAGAGAGAGAGAGAGTTGATAATGAAATTGAGGATACAAAAAACTAAGACAACTTTAGCTCAATTTTTTAGTTACATTAAAACCTGAAAATGTATTCATATGTAGAATAATAACAACTGCTAAACAAAAAAAGCTCAAATTCTCGATCCAATTATAATATTAGGAAATATATTGTATACAGTATTGTATTCACTCTCTCCAGTGATATATAAACCATAACATAATACTACAGAATATTCTTTAGAGGGATTGAAATTTCAGAGCCGCTTATGTTTAATGTGTGTTTTAGCTAGTAATGAGATTATTTGAATACAGAATATTTTGTTATTTAAAATAGTAATAAATATTTTATTAACACTAATGACTTTAAGGATTTTTCAGTTCGCTGTGGCTTTTATTGAAAAATTTTTAAATTAAATTTTATAATTAAATTTATGATAGAGCGGCGTTACAGTGTGTAATATACAGTATGTGTGTTATTATGTAAAGTATCTGTGTACAAAGATATTGTAATTAAATTTCTTATAATAAAAATCCATTAAATGAAATGTTTCTAAGCGTCTCCAAAAGATATTTCATTATTTTCTGTCTTTTTATTAATAAAATATAAGTTTTTCGATGAGTTAATAGCTTTTGCAGTCATTTATGACATGAAGTATGACATGAATGTCGGAATTTTTGGTACCATTTTATTGTCCATTCAATCAAATTCAGTGTATATATTGTATTGGATGTAAGGCTTAAGGGTAAAGTTCCCCTCCAGAATCGTAGCTATGTCAGTATCGATTGGGCAGACATTTCAAAATTAATTTCAAATTAAACCATTATTATAATTACTAAAATTATGCATAAATTCCATAAAATTAATAATAATAATAATTAAAATTAAAATTCAAGCGCACAATAATTTTTAAGTATTACAATTTTATTGAGTGTAATCTTGAGTATAAAAACATTTACATTGATTAGTATTTCGTAAATATATTCGGAAAAAGAGATCAAAAAACATTTGAATAAAATTTCTATTTTAATCATTATATCGGTATAAACAAAATGCAGTAATTCTTATGCAATAATTGTTAAAATTTCAAATTCATACAAATGAATCATACCGTATACGGTAATAAAACATAGAAAACTGATTAGAAGTCTGTATATAAAAACGTATTGTAAATAAATGATTGACACGTAAAGAGATATTTAATAATAAATAATGAAATTATGAGTTATTCTTAAGTCATGTTTGTTTGTCGGGAATAATGAAAGTATTGTTCAATAGGTGTTTGAAATCACAAGTGATGGCACAGACATAGAGACCCTGTTTATTGGTTCACGACGTTCTGACTCTAATGTACGGCTCCTATCGATTCAAAAATGAATTCAATACCGTAATTACGGGAACGACATACAGAAATCGATATTTAAAAACCAATCATTATTACTGCCATAAACTAAACACATTTTTAATCCCTAAAACTGCAATCAAATCGAAACTAAACACGTTTTCAGACAATAAAACAAAATCTCCATTTGTTTGGTCAATAAGTATCGTATGTTTGTTGCAAATAGTGTTCAATTAAATTGATCTAAACGTGGAATGGGAGGCGTGGCTGACGTTAATCACTGTCGTCGTCTTCATTATCGATGGCCCCCTCTCTGATCCGAGAGGTTCGGGTGGTTATGATGTTGGGTATTAGGCTCTCATTCAGTACTCCATGTCTATGAAGAGGGCAATGAAACACAAATTAGTCATAAATCTTATCAATTAAAACACAAGTCATTATAAATGTGACAAAACATTAGCAAAACAACAGCGACTGACTCGACAAGAAATCTCTCGACGTCTACCGCGAAGAAGCGGTCACTGAACTCGTCGCCCAATCGGACAAAGTTGGCCAATAGGTTGCCCGCCTTATAGACTAGAAGTGCTGGAACTCCACTCTTGGACTGCAAACACAAAAATACAAATTACACCACAAATGTCTCGCGAATCAATAGTTGGCTAATAACTGACAAAATGTTTGCTCATCCCTGCGATGGACGCCTCGATGGCGCAGAACTTAACGTTCGCGTACTGTTTGGCCAAACAGTCGAGACATCCGTTCATATCAATGCACTCCTGGATGTTATTCGTGAATATATGGCAGATAATGGTCACGAACTTCATCTCCTTGTCGATGGCCTCCAAGAACTCTGCGCCCGAGTTGAGCACCAGTAGCTTCCCGAACACCGGCCGCTCCTTACCGTCGCTGTCGATCTGTTCCATCATTTCCTTCATCCGTTTAATCATATACTCCTTGAGGAAGGGGTCGTTCATGTCGTCGCCGAACTCGTCCTCATTGTCGCCGCCGGAGCTCTGGTTCGCCGCCTTTTTGGCCAACTCTTCCTCCAGATGCGAGCGACAAGTGATCGACAACTTCTTCATGAGCTCTAACTTCTCCCTCTCGTCCGACTCCCTCTTCTCCGACTCGAACTGTTTATATCTTTGCCAGTCTTTGATCACACCTTTAGGTCCCGTCTATAAGACAAGACATACATCAGACACACAGTCAACGAAGACATACCACCACTCAATGCACTCAATGGCGGCAAAAGAGCGGCCATTTTGATGACACATC